TTTTTTTAAAAAAAATATCATCTATCTTTTTTTGTCCGGAAAGCCGACAGAGACAAACAGGAAAAGTAAATCGCTGTTTGTCACTCTCATAGCCGTGTAATCATTTTTTTTTTTCAATTCCGACATGTGGAAACTGTGTGGAAACTCTGCCCGAAAAATATTCAACAAATCGTTTGTGGGGTTCACAAAAAATAACATACTTCGAAAAAAATTTTCAAAGGAAAATATTTTCTTTTCCATATGTTATTTTCTTTTGTATGGAAAACTCTAAAAAAAAAATTTTATGAAAAGATTTTCTATTGTTTGTTTTATTTTTTCTTTGACATTAACCTCCCTGAAACCGTGAATAATGCTTCTCATTCAAATACAAAATTAGCGTTACATATTTATATGTATATACAGCACTGCATAAATTACATAAATGCCCTCAAATATAATATTATACTGTCATTCCCCCGCAATTGGGGCGGGCTGATGAAGCACGCACAAATTGGACCGTTGAGAACAGAAAGCAGTTGATGATAAAGCCTTAGTAAGAATATCAGCACGCTGTAAAGAGGAAGGGACATGCTGCAAAAGGATGGCACGAGAAGCAACCCGTTCCCGAACAAAATGAATATCAATCTCGATGTGTTTTGTTCGCTGATGCTGTATATGATTGAGAGCCAAATAGAGAGCATTGATATTATCACAAAGCACAATGGGAGCAGAAGAGAGAAAGACGTGTAACTCAGCCAATAATTGCCGAACCCAAACAACCTCAGCGACGACATTAGCCATAGCACGATACTCAGCCTCAGCACTAGATCGAGCAATAGTATTCTGCTTTTTAGAAGACCAAGAGATGAGGGATTTGCCAAAAAACAAATAGTAGCCTTAAGTAGAGCGCCGACTTTCCAAACAACCAGCCTAATCAACATCAATATAAATATGCAAAGAAGGAGAAAATTCCTTGAATAGCTGGAGGCCATAATGAGCAGTACCCTTCAAATATCGAAGTATCCGTTTCATTGCCTGAAAATGATTTTGAGTCGGAGCATGCATATACTGGCAAACTTGATGAATCGTAAAAGCAATATTAGGACGAGTAAAGGTCAGGTATTGTAAAGCACCAACTATACTACGATATTGAGTGGAATCCAAATAAGGAGGACTATCAGAAGCAGCCAATTTTTGCCTAGGGGACATAGGAGTAGCAGCAGCATTACAGTCAGACATGCCAGTGCGAGCCAACAAATCAAATATATACTTAGTTTGACAGAGAAAAAGACCATCAGGGTTAAAAGAGGCTGTAATACCCAAAAAATAATTAATAACACCCAAATTTGTCATAAAAAATTCCTACTTCAATGAAGAGATGATCCGATGCAAAAGAGACTGTGTGGAAGCAGTGAGAATGATATCATCAACATACAAGAGCAGGACAACCAGCATACCATTTGAGCGATATAGACACATAGAACAATCATAATAGGCCTGAATAAAACCACAAGAAGAAAGAAAAGCAGGAAACCTCTGAAACCATGCACGAGGAGCCTGTTTCAAACCGTAAGAGCGTGTTGAAGAAGGCAAGCACGATCTGGATATTGTGGATCCACAAACCCAGGTGGTTGATACATATAAATAGGCTCATATAAATGTTCATTAAGAAAGGCATTCTTCACATCAAGTTGATGAATCGGCCAAGACTTGGAAAGGGCAAGTGTAATAATTGTTCGGATGGTAACAGGTTTGACCACCGGACTACAAGTCTCATCATAATCGATCCCAGGCTGCTGTGTATACCCTTGCGCCATAAGTCGAGCCTTATAATGCTCAATACTACCATCATTTTGCTGTTTAATAGGATAAACCCATTTCGATCCCACAATGTTAGCACCGGATGGAGGAGATACCAAAACCCAAGTTTGATTGTGCTGTAGAGCCAGAAATTCCTCTTGCATAACCCGTTGCCACTCTGGAAGATTACAAGCTTGCTTAAAAGTCTTGGGTTCCTTCAAATTAGTAGAAGTATGAATCATAGATGGTAAGATCTTTGGCTTCTGAACACCTGCCTGTAAACGAGTCACCATACTGTGAGTGCGCCGAGGAGCATCAGCCGAAGAAGAAGAAGGAACTGAAGAAGACAATGCAGGGGCAAGAGTAAAGCAGGAGTAGGAGTAGGAACAGAGCCATCGGCAGTCACAGGACAATCACCAATCGAAGTAGTGAAGAGAGAAGCATCAGGCCCTGATGCAGATTGGGCGGAAGCAGGGGATGCAGCATCGCAAACTGGTGATGATTACCATAGATCTGGAGGAAGTGGGGACGAAGAGGCTGCTGACGGTGGCATAGAGCAAGGCACGATGGAGGCAGAGATTGGGAGGAAGCTGGTGGGTGTGATAGTTGTGGGGCAAGTGGGTGCAGTAAGTGGGTGTGAAGTTGGGCCAGGAGAAAGTGGGTCGGGGGAAGGTGGGCCAGTGGAAGGTATGGCTGGGCTAGGGGAATTAGTGCAGCTATGGGGCGGAGTGAATTGGTTGTCTAATAAATGGAAAGGAGTCCGGAAAAATGAGGGAGAATGAGATGGCATAGAGGGTGAGTAGGGAAATTCAATTTCATTAAAGGTAACATGTCTAGATAGAATAATTTTCTGGGTTTTTAAGTCAAGGCATCGATACCCTTTATGGTGACTAGGAGACCCCAAAAAAATGCATAAAGAGGAATGGGGTGCCAATTTGTGAGCTGCAGTGGCAGACAAGTTAGGATAACAAGCACAACCAAAAGGTCGTAAATGATCATAAGATGGCACTGTGCCAAATAAAGCCTCATGAGGAGTTGAAAAATGTAGCCTAGAGCAAGGTAAAATATTGATTAAGTGAACAGCTACATAAAGAGCTTCCACCCAAAATTCACTAGGCAAGTTTGCTTGAAAAAGTAAAGATCGAACCATATTTATGATTGTTCGATTCATCTGCTCGGCTTTCCCATTTTGTTGGGGAGTCGAGGGACAAGAAGAGTGAAGATGAATACCATTGTTTTGAAAATGAGTAGCAAAATCTGCATTATCATATTCACGGCCATTATCACATTGAAAAGCCTTAATCCGAGCACCAAACTGAGTAGAAACATAAGCAGAAAATCTAAGGAAAGCTTGAAACACTTGATATTTTGATTGTAAAGGATAAACCCATAAATAGTGACTATAATCATCTAAAAACAAAAGATAATAACGAATACCCGTAAAAGACACAACAGGAGAAGTCCAAACATCAGAATGAATTAACTCAAATGGCGTTGAAGTAGTTGAAAAGGAGTCACTAAATGGAAGTTGAGTATGCTTCCCTAGTTGACAAGCATGACAAGAAATTGAACTAGGAACTTTATTGTTGGACAAAAATTAAACCACGACAAACCAATTGAGTAATAGAGTCTGAACTTGGGTGACCAAGACGAAGATGCCAAACACCAAGAGACACAACTGCAGTAGTAAGGACCATAGGATGACTTTGAGACGAGCTAGACACAGAATAAAGTCCCTCCGCACTATTGCAATGAAGCAGGACATTCTTCAAGTGGATATCCTTAATAGAAAAACCAGAAGAGTCAAATTCAACACTACAATTGTTGTCTTTAGTAAACTGACGAACATAAATTAAATTCTTACGAAGATGCGGAGAGACAAGCACATTATTAAGTTTAAAGGAATGACTAGACGATGACAACACTGTACTACTAGAATGAGTGACAGGGAGTAATTAACCATTGCCAACCTGAATAAACTCTAAATCGGAGTAAGGAGAGGAGTGGGAGAGATTACTAGGGGCACTAGAGACATGGGTATTAGCACCAGAGTCAATGTACCATTTGCTGTCCGGAACGGTAGGGAATGTTGTGGCTGTGAGCGTTGCCGGAGCAGAGGACAATGAGGCAATATTTGTGCCAATTAACAGAGGGCAGTCACGAGCCTTATGAGTCAATTGATCACAAAGTTGACAAGCAGACATGGGCGGATTCGGCAATAATGGTGGTAAACTACTACCACGGAAATGAGATGAATGCTGGCCATAAGATGAGTGCTGTAATGAGGAAGGATTCCCAGCAGTATTGAGAAAAGATGGGGAGCCATGCCCTGGATTAGTGGGTGCTCCAGAATAGAACCCACGATCAAAATTGGAGAATGAGCCATGAAAAACATGACCACCTTGACCGCCTTGCTTGTTACCACGGCCTCCTCTATAAAAGCTTCCATGGCCTCGGTTGATGCCAAAGAAATCAAGCCGGGACTGAGTACCAGAATAATATGCCTCAGGAATTGAAGAGCCCATACAAGATGAGTGAACCGAGGTCTGCAACACCTGTTGTGCACTGGAGTTAACAAAAGGTAAAGCACTGATAGATTTTTCTCTTTGCAATGTTGATTCTTCAATAAGCAGTAAAGATTGAAGATCCACAAATGAAGGAAAAGGAGATCTGTGCGAAATAGTTCTCTTAGCAACACTATATTCAGTATCAAGTCCTGTAAGAGCCTGAAATACTATGTCTCTGTCAGTCAAATACTCACCAACACCATACATGTTATCTGCTGCCTTTTTGACAGATTGCAAGTACTGTAACATGGACTGGCCGGATTGTTTTTGGAGAGAAACGAACCCTTGCTTAACATACATTTTTTGGCAGCCAATTGATTTTGATAAGAAGTATGAATGGCATCCCAAGCTTCTTTGGCAGAAAGAGTTTTACCCGGTTGAATAATCATCTGCAGTATATTTGTGGAAATAGTGGCATGAATCCAAGATAAAATTTGATAATTAATCTGCACCCAAGTGTCATAATTAGGATTGGAAGGTGGAGGACAAAGATCTGTACCATCAATATGGCCATATACCCCCTTGCTTTTGAAGACAGGAATCATCAACTTCTTCCAAATAATATAATTGTCATGGGTTAAGGTTTCTGGAACAAAAGTTTTAATATTGGAAACTGTGAACACCGGATGAGAAAATAAGGAAGAGGGTGAGGCATGATAAGTAGGTGGAAGGCTTGGAGTGGGTAGAGTATTGAAAGGGGGAAAGGACGAAAGAGTAGGTGGAGTAAGTGTGGTGGGTGGGATAGCATTAAAAAAAGGAATTGGGGTAGAAGGTTGTGAATCAGACAAAGAAAAAGTTTTTGAATCTGAAGAAGCCATAACTAGAGATTGGCAAAGACCTAGAGACCTAAAGAATAAGACGAAAATTGGAGAAGAGACTTGGTGCCGAATTGCGGCTCTGATATCATGAAACCGTGAATAATGCTTCTCATTCAAATACAGAATTAGGGTTACATATTTATATGTATATACAGCACTGCATAAATTACATAAATGCCCTCAAATATAATATTATACTATCACTCCCAATATCCAATAATTATATTGAGTTTCAACTAATTTAAAATTAAGTAACGTTAGACCCATAATGGAGAAAGCTCTGAACGCTTGTTTTTTTTTTATTGAAGAGATTTCAACTCAAGATTTTATTTAAAAGAAATTGAATTCTTTTTATTTAAAAGAAATCGAATTCTTTTTATTTGAACTAACAAATCGTTAGTTGTTTGGATGACGTTGGAAATCTTCATATTTTCCCCAAAAAAGAATGTGTTCGTAGGAATCATATTGAATATCAAGAAAACTATAAGGACTTATGTAAAAAGAAATAAATATTTGGGGACTTCATCTATGATATTGCCCACACGTCTTTACCTTCTTCTTCATAAGCTCAAATTGGAGAAATGTATTTATCTTCTTCTTTGGAAGACCTTGGAGATCAAGGACCTCATGGTGTTCGTCTTCTTCAAAGGAACAGAAGCTCTAGATGCCTTAGCATATGGTTGATATGATTTTAAAGTAGTGGAATATTGCTATATTACGAGAGATTTTTTTTTTATGAAAATAGTTAAACTTTGTTTTAGAAGGGTAAACGAAGAGGTAACATGTGAAAATTATTTATGTGAGTTTTAATACAAAATTTATATCTAATTTAAATTTAATTAACAATAGGTGGAGTAGTTCTTATATTTAACTCACATTTTTTTTTTCTTGTTATATACTTGACGTGAAATTTTCTAATTCAACAACCTAACAAAACAACATGTTAAATGAGAAAAATTCACATTGAATATAACAAAAAAGCATGTAGCTTAAATATAAAGATGATTACTTCATTTATTATTAATTTATTTTAAATTAGATGTAAGTATTATATTGAAATTCACATGTTTAATTTTCATGTAACAGCGTTGGCACTAGCCACCAGAACTATGCTAGCAAAATTTATGAAAGCACTCGATCAAAAGTCACTCCAATCGAATTGAACGGAGGCATAATGGTTTTGAACTTTTTGATTGAAAACTGGTGCTAAAACCTACTTGATTTGACAATTTCATATCTTAGTTTTACAGTCCATATTAAGTAAATAATTGATATGTTGTGCATGTTTATGTGCTATATATGGTTCTACAATGTAATTTTCTTAGAACTATGGAGAGTTTGGACCCTAGCCTAGGCATGGGGGTTAGAACAATGAACTAATGGACCTTTGCGGAATAGGTAAATGCTATGACTAGCTTTAGCACCTAACGTGAGTGCATGCACATTCAGTGGGCTCCATAGTTTGTGCTATCTCTATTTGATGTGTTGTGTTTATGTGATCATTTGTAACTGCAATGCCTTAATTTTCTACAAGGTTCATACAACTAAGAACTAAAGGCATTTTTCTGCATAAGATACTAAAAATTAAATTATTAGCTTAACTTAAGATTAAGAATTATGCTTACTGGCTATGAGCTCATGGTATTATCCCCACCATTTCAGATAGCAACAGTGAAGAGTAGTTGTTATTCCTAAGAATTTATGTGGGTGGAGGCCCTATACTAACTGTAAGTTGAGCTTCAAAAATTAGTAAGGCAAATCTATATCTGCCTAAAACTTCCATTTGGCTCTATAATTTTAAAACTACCTATACTGTATTGAGCATGGGAATAGTATATAAGATGACTCTTTTGATTTTATAGATATTTTCTGCATTTTTTTTCTTTCCTAGTTATATAGCACATCTCCCTACTTAATAGACTTATGATTTTCTCAAAAAGGGGATGTTACAGCTTGAAGATCCATACTCAAATGTGAGCAGCATTGAGTTCGTTTCAAAGAGGGGCAGGGCTTGCTTTCAATGGCCAAGGCCTTTTATAGCCTGAACTGGAATGTTGTTAGAAATTTGGACATGCCTCTACTTAAGGTCCAAAGTCCTTGCCACCGTGCTTCTATGTCTCCATTAGAAACTTAGAGAGAATAAAAGATGTCCTAATTGAAAAAGAAACTATGATTAAAAATTAAAAAAAGAGAAGAAAATAAAACAACATAACAGCTACACAAACTTCTATGCCTCCCATGAAAGAGTTTTGTCACCTTAGATAACATACCATATTAGGCCTTCATGATAAGATTTGTTATAAGATTTAAAAATGTGATAATGTTAAGTTAACCATTCAGTAATGTAGTGGCAAATGTTGTCTTTTATTTGTAATAATTGACTAGTAAATTATAATAAATTAATCTTTTCAATTATAAATATAGTTAGCACTACATTATTAAACTTGGATATTCTTGACTTGCTAACTTGTTGAATAGAAGAATTTCTTAATTCGAATTATCTTCAATAAATCAAAAGAACGATCATAATGGAGACAAAGCCCAAATAGGCCAAGTTTGCCCAACCCACAGAGCATGAGTTCCACCTCACCATGGCCGAAGTAGATACTCCATTGGCAAGTTGAAAGGAAGCATCAACATTAACCTTTAGAAAACTAGAGGAGGCATTAGACTAGATAAACCATTGTTGTGATTGTCTTTGTGCTAGACAAGTAGTGGGATCAAATAAATCCACACATGGGGCATTATAATGTTCCTAGATGATCAAATTAATTCAGTTAAGTACCTCTTGGGGATTAACCAACGATTGCTCAACATATCTCTTATTCTTAGATTTCCATGAGTGCCATTGTGCCAATAGATGCGACACTTTGTTCTAGCATATTATATTTCTCATACTTTTTGTAGCCTGCACTATCTTGATCACTTGCTAAAACTAAAAGAATTCACCCTAAAATTAAAAAGTTAAATTTAAGAGTTTGGTGTTTTGTAGTGCACCGAATAGCGGTGGTGGTGGATGCAATGATTCGTACGATGCAATGACTTTATCAAGGAGCTAGAGAGTCCAATGGCTTTTGATTAGGAAGATTTAAAGCGAGAACTCACGGGGTTGGCACATTTCTAATTAGATTTGCTATAAAAACTCAATGGCTTTTAATTGGGAAGATATTATGTTTCTAATTTGTGTTTCAAGCTGGTAATAATGTAGGAGTAAGGTATTGACAGTCTATATATAAATCTGTAAAATCTTAATTTGGTTGCTCTAATCTATTAACTTAGCGAGATTTTGCACCCAATAAAATTGATAGTACTTCAATTTCGTTAATAAGTTACTAACTAGAGCTAGAATAATTCAGTATTCTGCCAATAAAAAATTCATGTCTGCTAGGCAAATAGAAATCCAAATTACAGGCCTTTGGACCAATAACATGGTAACACACCCACAGTTGGCCTACTCACAAATCTTATTGGACTGAATATAAAGCCCAAAATAATCAGGCCATCAGCTACACCTGCAGTATAATTTGTTGAAGAACTTGCTCTACTCATTAAGTGTTTATTTAATAATATTTTTT